GAGTCATTCACAATGTTATTAAAAATGTTAAAAGAGGAGTTGTTACCTGATGGTGCCGATTTGCTAAAATCGTATTATGAGGCAAAGAAGATAATTCAAGACCTTGGCCTTTCCTACAACAAGATTGATGCTTGTATTAATGATTGCATGTTATACTGGAAGGAGGATAGCTTACTTGATTCTTGCAAAGTTTGTGGTGCGTCTAGATGGAAAATAGATAGACATAGCGGGGAAACAAGGAATAAAAAAGGTAAGAAGATAGCATCAGACTTTACGCTATTTTCCATTAAAGCCTAGGCTTCAGAGGTTGTTTATGTCTACAAAGACATCTACTTTAATGACATGGCATAAAGATAAAAGAGTTGATGATGGAATAATGAGGTACCCAGCTGATTCAATGGCGTGGAAGTCATTTGATGAACTTCATCCTTCATTTGCGACAAAGCCTCGTAATGTCCGACTTGGACTTTCTAGTGATGGATTTCAGCCATTTCGTAATTCAAAAACCTCATATAGTATTTGGCCTGTGGTTCTTATTCCTTATAATTTACCACCTTGGTTGTGTATGAAACAAGAAAATTTTATTTTGTCAATGCTTATTCCAGGTCTAGATAGTCCAGGAGATGCAATTGATACATATCTACAACCATTAATAGAGGAATTGAAGGAGTTGTGGGAAGTTGGCATTGAGACCTTTGATGCATCATCTAAACAGAATTTTAAGTTGCATGCTTCTTTGTTATGGACCATCAATGACTTTCCAGCCTATGGAAATTTATCTGGATGGAGTATAAAAGGAAAATTGGCATGCCCATGTTGCAATAAAGACACCTCCTCAATTCGATTGGCTAATAGTAAGAAGCAATGTTTTATGGGTCATGGACGCTACCTTCCTCTTAGCCACAAATGGAGGAATGACAAGGATTCATTTGATGGTAAAAAAGAGAAAAGGCTCCCACCAAAAATGCGTTCTGGTATTGAGATTCTTAATCAAGTGCAAGATCTTGAAGGGATACAGTTAACAAAGGATCCAAAGAAAAGGAAGAAGATATCACATGAAAATCGAAAGGATAATTGGAACAAGAAAAGTATTTTTTTTGAACTTCCATATTGGAAGTCTCTCTTGTTGCGACATAATTTGGATGTTATGCATATTGAAAAAAATATATGTGATAATATTATGGGAACAATCATGAATGTCAAAGGAAAGACCAAGGATACAATTAAAACACGATTAGACTTGCAAGACATGAATATTAGGCCGGAATTGCACCCCATCCAAAGAGGGGAGAAAGTTGAAGTTCCAACTGCATGCTACACATTGCCTCCCGAAAGTAAGCACAAATTATGCCAATTCCTAAAGAATTTAAAGGTTCCTGATAGGTTTTCATCTAATATTTCTCAATGTGTGAACCTGAAAGATCACAAGATATCTGGGTTGAAAGTCATGATTGCCATGTTCTTTTGCAACATATACTCCCCCTTGCACTTCGTGGTATGTTGTCCAAAGAAGTATGTGAACCACTTATTGAGTTATCTTTNTGTACACAAATTACAATCGACCTGAACGAAAGTATGACGGGGTTTGGTAAAAAGTTCTAATGGAGGTTTAGTCTATGTTCTATCAACTTGGAAGTACTCTGGGAGCTAAAGAACAATGTGAGCTTGAACGAAATCATTGTTACATATACTGATGGCATGATTTCTTTTAATACTATAATGTCACATGTTGTCTAACTATTTTTTTACTTTTGGCTCTTTGCAGGTTCAATATGAAACCATCAAAGACTGAAAATGAGGTGGAATCAACTATGAAAAGTACAACCAAATATGCGTTTGTCCCGCCAGGTGCTATAAGAAAGGGACAAGGACGAGGACGAGGACGAGGGCTTAGATCTTTAGTTGAGAAAAAGAATATGCCAATTAAGAGTTTATTTCCTCAATCTAGTGATCTTGTTAAGCAATACATCTAAACAATTGAAACAAGTAAGATATTTTAAATCTGCAGTTTTTAATGTGTACAACTAAATTTTAATGTTTAAATATTAGTAATATGATTTCGTTTCGCCAGGTGCTATTGGGAATGGACGAGGACAAGGGCTTAAAAGCTCTACCATGTCTGCTAGTCAAGGAACGGGAACAATACATAAAAACTCTATTGTTCTTGAGAAATAGTATATGCAAATTGATATTCCATTGCCTCCATCTACTGATCAAGTTAAGCAATTTACCCAAAAAGTTGAAGCAAGTAAGTTTTTCCAAATCTCCGGTATTTTTAATTGCATATGTTACTAAAATTAAATGCCAAATTAAAATGGTTTTTTGGTCTAGGTTCAATAGGGAAGGGACGGGAGCAAACTCCTAGATCTTTGTGCTCATCTTTAGGGATTTCTAAAAGCACAAGATCGAATTTTACCATGTCTTCTAACCAAGAAATGCGAACAATGGATAAAAANATATATATATATATATATATCAAATTATCCTCGCATCTCGCAGATTCTAACACTAGTACATCAAATAAAAACACAAGTATGCAACTAACATAGTCTTGAATAGAAATTTAAGTAATGAAATAATAAAATGAGAATAAATTTAAAGTTGAATTTATCGCCTCAAATGATTTCGGTTTTTTTTTTTTTTGTGAAGAATTATAGTACAATAGGTTTCTAATCTTATTTCTTTTTGGAGGACTGTTGGACAGGAGTATCAGAAGTACAATAGTCAGAATCGTACCAGACTGTAAGCGTATATCTTCTCTCAACTTTATGCATGTAGTCCAACTTTTCAATTAATTAATCTCCAGAAAGATGGTATTTTCACTTTATATCTGAATTAAGGGTGGCAATTAGAGCCCAAACCCATTCAACCCGCCCAGATATTAATAGGTTGGGCTAAAAATATTTTAGTTCATAGGTCTATTAGGGATGAGCCCCAAGTTAACCTATTATTTTTTATAGCCCATTCTTGCCCATTAAGTAGCCCAAATACAACCCATGAATCACCCAAAATAAAGGGATCTCAACCCAACTTATCTAGAAATTTACTCAGTTGCCCCAGTTTTACCTTCTTTTTTTTTTTTGTATTTTTTATTTTCTATTTTTTATTTTTCTGCACGACCCACCCATCCCCCCAATTTTATTTTTATTTTTTTGTACCGTCGCTTGAATGAAGACACCTGATCGACCCGGCTTTCCCAAATGCCCCCCACCGGCCCTTCTCCTTTACGATTTTTTGCGTTATTTCAGTCGTCGTGGTCGATGGGGAAGAAAGAAATGGACTGCAATCTTACCATTGTACCAAAGCCTTGGTGCAAAACTTAGAGACTTTTGTTTCCTTATTAATAGGAGTTTGGTTACAGCTTTACAGCTTGTTTGGATGGTTTGTTATGTATCGTTTCGTAATATATCGTATAGTATTATATTGTATTGTATTGTTTTAATGTATATAATGTTTGGATAGATAGTATTGTTTGTCGTTGTTTCATGATGTCATGCACCAATAATATGAAGAATAAACTTGCTATATTATAAAGAAATAGTAAGATACGAGGTATAATTATATATAAAAAGGCAGTCAGGGTAAAAGATAAAATGAGATTATTTAATAATAAGAAAGGGCAAGATGAGAGGAAAAAAATTAGGTAACGACGCGACCACACCAAATCGGTCGTTCCATAAAGTGACACTTTTCGTCATTACGTAACCCAGATTGAACGATACGATACAATAAAATTTAAGTAACAATCGTAATAAATATTATATTTTTTTAACATTATATTTAAAGTAACAATACGATACAATACAACAGCTAACAATCATCCAATAAGTTGTAACTTGTGCTGCCCAATTCCTCTGAACATTCCAAGTTTTCTTCAATCAAATCAAACAAAGTGCCAGAAAAATCAGACTTTATGTAATACCCCCAATATTTTAAATGAGGTCATATGGGGTATTTAGTAAATAATTTAAGTTTTCTTTAAAAACAAAAATGAACTAACATTTAAAAAAGAATTAACAAAAAAAAGGGAACCTAACCTAAGAAAAGTTTTATTGTGTATCTCACGCAACTTACATTAGTTGTGTGAGGCTCCTTTTTGTCTCACAAATTTGTGGACCCCAATCTTACACTTCTGGGTCCACAAAAATCAGGGTCCACAAAACTGTGAGATAAAAAAAATGCCTCATACAACTAGTGTCAGTTGTATGAGACACAAAATAAAATTTTCCCTAACCTAATTAAAAGATGGGCAAAGGCCCACTGGAACGGCAAAACAAAAAAAAAAAGAGGGGAAAAGGGAATTGCAGCAAAGCTGCGGCAAAGAAGAAGTAGGAGCTAAAGCATAGAAAGAAAAAAAAAACCATAGAGGAGAAAGCAACGAAGCTTAGGGTTCCAAAGTAGGGGAAATCAAGCACAGTTCCATAGCTGCTAGTAACCTGGTGCTTCAATATTATTATTCTCAACCATTGTTATTTCTAAATTCAAGGTAAATCTTATTATTCCATTTATATGAGTGTCTTTGATTTATCATGGTTTCAGTTAAATAGTGATACTAGTAACTCAGTGAGTTCCAATTGATTTGGATGCAAGAATGTTCATGAACAAGAAATCAGATTTTTTTTTATATTTGATGGATTAGTTGGGGGAAAAAATCAGATTATTATTTAGAATAATATGGAGATAGCAACAAAGAACTTAATCAATTGGTTATATTTTTAACAAGTTATTAAGAGGATACAAGATGTAAACTTATTGTTACTAATTCTGCAAATTCCTTCTATGATTTAGTAAATGAGTAGTACAAAGATGTTAAGTTTGGAAGAATAAATTAGCCATAGATAGTTATTTATCATTTTTTTATATAAAGATGATACATAGTCTAATGAATGTGGTAAAGTGGAAACAAAATGCCGGTTATAAGCGGAAAAAAAACATCTACTGAAAGTGAGATAGATTATAAAGTTCAAGAGTGATAACACTAGATTTATATTGATTTATAGATTGTACACAAATTGAGCATTTGGATCGATAAGAAGTCGAGTTCTGGCTAGTTGGTATGAAGAGGTGAGTAGTAATCTTAACGCAACTTGTGTATTCATAACCTGCATGGTTTATATATTATTTTGAAAATAAATGTGTTACCGAATGTTTGAAATTGCATGTGGGACAAGTCCTTTACTTGATATGGTACCGAACAGTTTACTTAAGATGTTTACCGGTTAATCTAAATGTTTCCACCGTTACTAGATATGTTTTACCGTTACTTGAGATGTTGCAGTTATTTAAATTATTATCACCGTTACTAGACATGTTTTACTGTTACTTGAGACATGATTTCCATTACCGAAATAAAATTACAAGATTTGATAAGAAATGATATGCCCTTTATTATTTTGAAAATGCTTTTGTACGAGTATTTACTGTTTACAAGAAAGAGTATAAATGGGAGGAGACTTTGAAGGATCCCGTAGCTAACGGCGAGTTCGTTAGACCTAGTGCACCTTGTATTTACCGATTACAGAGTACAGTTATAGCCCTCGCTAGTGGGAAGGTAGAACTAGCATACCGTTACTGATTCCCTCGAGTAGGGACTACCGTTATATATGACTTCTTGCAAAGAAGTCCACAGTTATACCGATTACATGATCCGTTCATTGAAACCTCCCAAAATGTGAATACTGATATTATACAGTGGTTACCAAGCTTATTACAGAATTGTTAATTATGTTATACTACAAGAAAAACGTGATGAGACTGAAAATTTTTTATTGTTTCTGAAAGGGCATTTTTATGTTATTTTCTGTTTGAGATACTAGCATGTTTTCTGACTTGTCCCCAAATAAAAACGGTTGTGGTTAAGTGTTATTACTCACTGAGCTAGCGACTCATTCCCCGCTAATTTTTTTACAGAGACAGCGGTTGACGCGGGCGAGGATTTCGTTAATTAGAGCGCACAGGTTGATAGTTCTTGGTGAGCCTCGCACTTCTTCGCGTGGGCGGAGATTTTATTATATTGTTATACTTTTTTCTTTGAACTCTTAGAGTCGCTCCATAGTCATTAATTTAATGTCATGAGTATTCTTTTGTTATTGTAGTCTTATGTTGAGTATCGTTCTCATTTATCAAAGTGGAGATAAATTAGTATTTCTAGTGGTTACTTGGTGGTTTAGTTATGGTGGAGACTTGTATTGGTTAATTGACAAGTTGTCAATTGTTTGGTATGATATTAGGATGTTTGGTTACTGATTTGATACAGGGAAATTTTTGGGATAGTCCAAAAACCGGGGAAACTCTGTCCGATTTTCTGTAAAATACTGATGAGGCTTACTTGGGGGCACTTGCTCCTAGGTGCCGATCATGATCCTAAATTGGGTCTTGACATGGGGTAAGTGTTCTATATCCAAAAGTGATTATATTTAATGATTCCATGGTTATTTTCATCAAGTATTAGTGAATCAAATGGAAGAAATTGGAGAAAATTTGTAAACTTTTTAAAAGCAAAAATTCTAGATTTGGAGGTCGATTCGTTATCGAAATTTGATAAAATTGGTATGGTTGAACTCGTATCGGAATGGGTTGTCGGATTTTGTGAGTTTTTTTTGGAATCCGGGCACGTGGTCCCGAGGGCGATTTTGTCACCTTTTCGAGCGGAGTTAGGAATTTATCTAAATTGAATTGTTGTGAGTATTAGAGCCTATATTTATGGATTTTCTCATTTCTTGGCTAGTTTTGGAGCGTTGTGCATCGATTTGAGTCGTCGGAAGGGCTTGGAAGCCGGTTATGGAACCTCGGAGCAAGGTGAGTCTCCTTTCTAACCTTGTAAGAGAGAATTGTCCCCATAGGTAAATTAATTAATTATGTGCTCCTATTTGTGGGGGCTACGTACGCACGAGGTGACGAGAGTCCGTGCGTAGCTACTATTATGCTTAGTCCGGGTAGTCTAGCGCCCAAAAGCATGCTTTACTTATAATATTTGCAATCTTGTTGTCAATTTGAAATGTGTAAAACATATTGAACGGGTAAGTGAATTTTCTAAAAACTAGATATTGTTTCTTGACTTCTAAAAAGAGAGATTGCCATTTTTTTGGATAATTGATTCCTTGATGATTTCTTGATTGACTGTTTGGTGTGTTTATTTAATTTTGACCGCGTCGCATGTATGATTCGCGAGCGCGGTAATAGATGCATCTATGGTTCGCGTCATTCGACCCTCTGACAGTGCACAGTTTAAATATTTATTGGATCGGGCCGTACGACCTCGGCATGATTTGCGCATGCTTGTATTGCTTGCCTTGAAATTCATAGATGTTGATATTTGTTTCTCCCTGGCCTGAGATAAATGTATGAATGATGAAAATGAATTTGGTAATTTCCTATAAACGAAAGAATTGTTTACTTGCCTCATGCTATTTGAGCTACCGTTATTTTTATGAAAATCCTCGATTTATTAAATTATTGGTATATTATCATTGGACCACTAGTAAGTGTCGAAGTAGACCTCTCGTCTCTACTTCTTCGAGATTAGACGGGATACTTACTGAGTACACGTTGTTTTTTGTACTCATGCTACACTTGCTGTGCATTTTTGTTGCACAGGCACATGTATCTCTAGTGGCTAGTGGGCGTAGCAGCATGGTTGATACGGAGACTTGGGTGAGCTGCACTTCTCGAGACGACCCGCAGCCAGCAGAGTCTCTTTCAGATTACTGTATTTACTTTTTGTCCAATTTGTATTCGGGGCGGTTGTTGTATTATATTGCTTCCTAGAGATAGCTCATGCACTTGTGACACCGGGTTCTGGGATGATTATGGGATTATGCAAAATTAAGTTTGTTAAAGACTTCATGGTTATTTCTGTGAATTTCATTATTTATTGTTTAATGTATAAAGGAAATGATTTCAACAAATACTAAAATGGGAATTTAATTAACTTCTTGGTGTTGACTTGCCTGACAGTGTGTCCGACGCCATCACGACCCTTAGTAGATTTTGGATAGTGACAGTAAAAGAATCCTTAAACAAAACCTTAAGAATACTAAATCTAAGTAAAAGCTCTACGGCACTAAAGAATCCTAATTCTAAACAATGAAAAACCTAAAGCACGGTAAACCTAAATAAATGAAGAGAATAAATAGTTTTGATTTTTTTCCCACAAAAAAAATAGTGATTACAATTACAATTATATCCAACACAGAATGCACTTATGATGGGTAAAAAAGGCGAACGACATTTAGGGCCTTCGTGCTTTTATATATATATATATATATATATATATATATATATATATATATATATATATATATATNTTCAAGGCTTAGTAAATCTCTCACGTGATTGAATTACTAAGCCTTGAACGGATGTAGCTTATTTTCACTTGTATTTTACTTCTTTGCTTGTGAGTGAATCNTATATATATATATATATATATATATATGCATTTCAACACATTTTTACACAATAACTAAATATTTATTATCAATTTTGGCACTTCTATTTAGAGTGTTTATTTATAAATTTAATTTTAGCATTTGAAAGTGCTTTTTAACACTTGATACTTATTAGCTATTCCAGATATATACTAATTTTGTAGGACAATTACGATAACAAGTTAATATTCAACCAAACATCAAGAAAAACAAAATTTTCAAAATTTTGACGACAAAATGACAACACTACCCTCGTTACTTGAAAACCAAATCTCTCACGTGATTGAATTACTAAGCCTTGAACGGATGTAGCTTATTTTCACTTGTATTTTACTTCTTTGCTTGTGAGTGAATCTTGAACCATGAACGAGTCATATTCTATGTAAATTATAATGTTGTCTTGGTATAACCTGAAGCTTCTAGAAAGATATGCTTTAACCGGCTAAAACTAATGAAAGATTGTTCTAACTTATTTCAAGTATACAAAAATAAGTGTATCTCATAGTGTTTATTAATTTTTAATATAACAAAAAAATATTTTAAATTTTAATACAATAAATTAAAAATTCAAGAAGAATTAATTCCTGCATAGTAATCGTCACATAACTAATCATTGCATAATTAATACCCACATAACTTAATATTGTATAACTAATCCCTACATAACTAATATATGTATAACTAATCCCTGCTTAATTTATCCTCGAATGAGATGACCCTACTATGATGTATAAGAAAAATAATCATGGTATACAATTTGATTAGAGGGTGTTTGGATTGACTTATAAAAAGTAACTTTTAAGCTAAAAGCCATAAGTTGGTAATACCAAACTTTTGGCTTTTGGCTTTTGGCTTATTTTTGTACTTTTTATGCCCAAAAGTAAGTGCTTTTAAGCACTTTTTATTATTTCCAAACACCACTCAAACTAAAAAAAGTGCTTAAAAGCCAATAAGCACTTAAAATAAGCCAATCCAAACATCCTCTTAACTTTATCCTAACGTTCTTGCTTAGAATTATTTACCTCGCTTGTTAATATCTTTGTTGCCTGCCTTTATTCCTTGACTATTGTATTTACTGTGGCTTGCTTACCTTAAGTCATTGTATCTCTTGCGTGCTTAAATTAATTTTTACTCTATATTGAAGATTTACTTGCTTGTCTGCATTTGCAATAGTTGGAGCTTTAGTATATATTCCTTTAGTTTCTTTGCTGGTGTAGTGGCTATTAGGAGCGATGGTGGAGTAGGCTCATGTCCTTGGGTGGGCCTGGGGGCAGGGGCAAGGGTGGTAAGGGGTTAAGGGTTCCAATGGGCTGAGAGTGGGGTCCTTGAATATAGGGACACTGACGGATAAGTCTATAAAGTTAGAGAAGATTATCTAGAATAGGAAGATTAATATATTATGTGTCCAGGAAACTAGATGGATGGGTACGAAGGCTCGAGATGTTAACGAATTTAAACTATGGTATTCAGGAGGTGCTATGGGCAAAAATGGGATAGATATTCTAGTTGATAGGGATCTCATGGAGTTACAACTTGTTTGGATGGTTGTCACATATCGTATCGTATCGTATCGTTACTTTAAATACAATATTTGTTTTGATTGTTACTTAAATTTTATTGTATCGTATCGTTAAATCCGTCGTTACGTAACGATGAAATATGCCACTTTATGTAACGACCGATTTGGTGTGATCGCGTCGTTTTCTTGTGTTTTTCTCTCAATCTCACCCTTCATTATTATTATATAATTTTATTTTATCATTTACCCTTCCTTTTTATATACCGTATCATAATTTTTTTTATAATATTGCAAGTTTATTCATCATATCACAGGTGCGTGATACCATTAAACGACGCCGAAACAACATAATCCATCCAAACATTATATTCATCAAACGATACAGTACAATACAATACAATACGAAACGAAACATTGTGAAACGATACGTAACAACCATCCAAACAAGCTGTTAGTGGTAGATGTTAGGAGGGGCAATGATCGTCTGATAGCTATTAAGCTAGTGGTTGGTGGGATCACTTTTAACGTGATTAGTGCTTATGCGCCTTAAGTGAGACTGCGCGAGAAGGTCAAAAGGTGTTTCTAGGATAATCTGGACGAGGTTGTAAGTGGTATTCTACACACCGAGAAACTCTTCATAGGGGGGGGATTTTAATGGCCATATTGGGTGTCACGCCCCAAACCTAGGGAGGCGTGGCTGGCACCCGGTGCCGCACTTGCCCGAGTGAACCACTCTGCAGCTTTTTTTTTCTTTGTAACTATCCTGGGCCAACATGGCCACAACTCGTAATGTATAACTATAGGTGGGCAACACTGTATCGCTGAACTATTTTTCTTAAAACATGAATACATATGGGTCGTCAAGGCCTCTAACATACTGTACAAACTGAACCTCTGTCTACAAAGCCTCTAAGATTATTCGACATCAAATGGAACAGAGTACCGGCCTTCCCATAAGTCTGTAGAAAAACTCTGACACGATGACTCATAGACTCGGCTGCACTCCGAATGAGGTGGAATCTTACCAATCCTTCGTTGAATGCCAATCCCGTCTACTATGAGGGCTCGTCAAACTGATTACCTATACCTGCAGGTATAAATGCTGCGTCCCCAAAAAAGGGACGTCAGTACGAATAATGTACTGAGTATGTAAGACATGTAAATGAATATATAAAGAGCATGGAAGAAATATGGAATAAAGGACTCAACCTATAAGTCTGGATAGCTCTGTAAATCATAAAATAATTATAGTGTCATGCATATGCGTATGAATGTCATGTCGTGCATAGGTACATGTTTCATAACATCATCAGGCCTCTGAGGGCATCCCATCATATCATCTCGGCCACTGTGGGCAAAATCATCAACGTGTACCAGCTGATAAGGTGGTGGCGCATATATAACGCCATAACCTTTCCCATATCCCATATACATATATACATATATATACGCGTATATAACGCCATCTGGTCATGGGTCAGTGTGCATGTATAATGCATGAAATGCATATGAAATACGTTAATAAAATCTCTTGGTACGTCATAAGACCGTAATGACTCTGATTAATACCATGAAAAGTTAAAAGTTGACTAAAAGAAATTCGGTTTTCTAAAATATGTTATCTAAAACATGCTAGGAATAAAATAGGCTAATGCTCAGAAGAAAAATATTTTGTTGCCAACAATGAGCACCTGAAGTGACCAACTATAAAATATCCTTTGACTGGTCGAATTTCCTGAAAATACCCAAAATCCATGATTCTCATGTTTATCTTTCAATCCACATGTATGAATAAAAAAAAAAGATACATTTTGCTGGCACAAC